CCTCCCCATCGTAGAGATACCGGCTTTCGAGTTTCGTGACTTTTGTTCCGGCTCATCGTTCCGGTTCCATCGTTCGCGTGCACGAAGGTTTTGCACCCCCCCCACCCACCCCCTTCCTTTCTCCTTCGTTTCCTTCTTAGCCTCGCTTCCCTCGCCGTCGAGCTCGCTCCACTTATCCAGGGTAATAGCATTCGTTGGATACGATAGTATCTCTACACTGCCGTGATTTGTTGTGGTCATCTTCGATTAACTCTTTCAGTGATTCTTGGCCTAAATGTGTATCGTGGGTTAGTGGAATGATACGATGATTATTCGTCGAAGTAATGGAAATAATCTTCTTTGGGAGTCATTGTCGAAAGTATTCGTTGCAAGTGAATAAATTTTGCGTTTGAGAGATTCCCAAATGTATAATTGTATAAAAAAGGAAAAGTTTCAATATGGTTTTCGTGTTGATTTGTTTCATTATAAATGTTGTAAATCGTGGAAAAGGCCTATTAAATATTCCAAAATACGTACAGAGAAAAATATGTAATATGTTTTAAAAAAATACTGAAAGGGTTAATATTGGAATAGATTTAGTACAATCTCACCTAAAAAGGAATATATGATCGCGATATGAAACATGAATTTTCAGGCTGAAACGAATATTCATAGTTGTAGGATTTCGCTGTGTTATTATAGTCATTTACTTACGTTCATATTTATATATTTCATTTGAATAGAAAATACGTAAGTTTCATACATACATATATATATATATATATACATATACCTATATTATCATTATATTATAAAGAAGAAAATAATATACGATTGTCTCTACAGCTACTCTAACTGCCTATACGAGTTCATACTTCTATACTATAACATGATTTCGAGTATTCAAGATTTCAAGTGTTTTTAAAAACTGTACTCTAGATTTTTCCATAATATTTTGTATCTTTAAATTGTTAACCCTTTTAATCTTTATATACATTGATTCACTTACACAATGTTGAATTGTAAATATAAACCGTTCTTGAGTTGAACAAGCTAAACTTAACAACAAAATATCGCCGTTTCGCAAGAACAATGACATAATTGACAAATACGATGACATTCTATTTCTTTCGATATAAAAATTTGAGGAACGTGCCATTTTTTGGTAATTTAACGATATTTTTATCTCCTTATACTAGATTTCTTTCTGAAATTGAAATGTTGGATCGTGAAAGAATAGGTTCGATAATCGATGCAATTATTTCATTTTATTCGACAACGCTGGAATAAGACTATTTGTTACAAGAACCGTTTCCAAGTAATGAAACGTCAGATTGGACAAATATCCGCACTCTTAGTTGGATACTAAACTTCGAAGTTTGTGTTTCGATAAGGAACAAGCAACAAATTTTAGACCTCAGCTGGAAGGTTCGACTCTATTTGCCCTATATAAACCGGAATAGCCTCTACGCTATCGTGTTTACCCTATATTCAGTATCACTAAACTGCAATACTCTTCTTTCAGAAACCTGAACCCTTTACCGAGCAAAAAAACGGCCGAGATTCTATTTATAAAAATTGAAACTGATAAAAATCAAAATGAACGGAAGATCCTCCAAAATTTGACGCAACAAAAAGATTCAATTCGTTCGCTCAAAATGAAAATTAATCTTCTCTTCCATCGTTGACGAAAATTAATTTTCTCTCACAATTCTGTCATTGTTCTCCGATTTTTTACACGATTATACAAACAGACACGTTTCAGAAAAAAATATATAAATTTCCAACCAGCAAGGGGGAGCAAGAAGGAAAATAAAGAGATAAAAAAAAGAAGAAGCTATCAGACGTAGATGCGCACGAAGGACACGAAAAGTCGTGAACACCAGGGGTCGAAAGATCGTATCGATAGAGAACTTTTACTGCGAATTTTATCGCGTGCATTGCCGCAGACATTCCGATGTTTTTCCATTCCCGAAACATTTCCACGGAATCGGAAAAGCTGGCGAGTTCGTCAACGAGATACGAGACACCGGTCGTAACGTATCGAAAACAACCCTCTTTAACAAAACTGTTTTAAAACCGTTTAACGCTTTCCAGCAATGGGGAACCTAAGTGATAAACCACGGTCATTCCTGGCTCGAACGCTGTTTCGAATATTTGTAATTGTAAATACTGTATCACGCATCCTCGGATATGGATAAAAAAATAAAAAAATAAAAAAAGCAACGTATTATCGTTGCTCCACATCGACACGTATTGTTATCACTCTGCGTCACGTAGAAACGGAGAAACAGAGATAAACGATAGGACAGGGATCTCGAGATCTTTGCCCGATGGAACGACATCCCCTTTTTCGTCCAAACATTCGTATTTTTCACTTTTTGTGTCGATGATTAATCTTTGACTGGTGTGGTGATTACATAGAGACATAACGACAAATTTATATAGGAAACTTCGAAAAGGAAGTTTGATACGTTAAAAAAACAAATGGAAAATCGAAGATGGCGATTTTTCAACGAGTACAAAGAGTAAAAAGAGAAATCCAAAATAGTTGTATATATTGATAGTAACACACGTATACAAAGGGGTAGTTGGATGTCTAGAAAACTTTTTTTTTCATATATTTTGAAAGAGAAACCACAGATTTTCATATCGTTTGTCCTCGAGTGTGTTATGGATTTCGAAATAATCAAAAAAAAAAAAAAAAAAAAAAAATAAGAAATAGTTGATCTGTTAGAAACTAGCTAGTTAATATTTTTTAAAAGGAAATTAAAGAAGAAACTTTATAAATTTATCGAATCACACCTCACTCGTTAAGGATTAAAATGCACCCTAAAAATATAATATTAATCAATTTCCGAATAACACTATATTTTCACCAAATCGTAGTAACGTCGTTTAAAGTTTTCCATTTCTAGAATTCTTTGGATTGCTCGTGATCGATCTCGAGATTCCTGGTGTAAAATTACATCACTTCCGATGGAAATACGAGTATAAAGAGGAAATTAAAAGGTTTAGGGCAACACTTTTTTGCAATTGCGTTTAGATAAGCGAGCGAACGAGAGTCCAGAGATAAGAGAGAAAGAGAGAGAGAGAGAGAGAGAGAGAGAGAGAGAGAGAGAAGAAT